AACTATCTTTGGGTGAAGATTATTCAAGTTTGTTCAAATGAAGGGCCACGCCTTCTTCCAAGGGGAGATAATTAAGAATTAGTGAAAAATTAATGGTATCTTTTAAAAATCTTCTTCTCAAGAACCACTGGACCAGGTAAGATGAAACTTATATGGAAACATCCTCAGGTAGTGTTGATTCAAGTTTGTTCAAATCATGACCCCAGGGGGTAGGGTGGGGCCACAATGGATGATCGAAGTTTATATAGAAATATATAGGAAAAATCTTTAAAAATCTTCTTCTCAAGAACATTAAAGCCATGATAAGTCATATTTATATGAAAGCATCCTCAGGTAGTGTAGATTCAAGTTTGTTCAAATCCTGACCCCCGGGTGTAGGGTGGGGCCACAATGGATGATCAAAGTCTTACATAGAAATATATAGGAAAAATCTTTTAAAATCATCTCAAGAACAGCAAAGCCATGATTGGTCATATTTATATGGAAGCATCCTCAGGTAGTGTAGATTCAAGTTTGTACTGTAACATATATATATTACGGTAATAAGTTTGTACACAGTGATCCATTTAATTTGCATATATTATGCTTTTGACAAAGTATTCCAAGAAATAAACAGTTCTATGGTATACCTATTCATATTTTGTTCATTGAATATAAAATAAATGTCAGTAAATTATTGTAGTGCTACATGGAATATCAGTATCATCTGTGTATCTACATGTTTTGAAAAAAGGTTGTAACATTTCTAAACACCTATAAGTATAATTATTGTTTTCTTCATATTCTCGTAGTGTTGTCCCTGTATGAGATCACAAGAACAACAACAGCACCAGCGAAAGCCTATGGAAATGAAGAAAATACTGCCAAAAACGTTCAAGGAAAAAAAAGAAGAAGAATCTAGTAGGCTAAAGTAGCCTTTCCACCGTATTTGGTGTTTCCATATCATTTTAGGTGGAAAAAAGGAGAAAAGTAAAAGAACTAAATAAAACATAATCAGATGCATCTGCCCTACTATATGTAGCTATAGGATTTAAGGTCGAAATGTTTATTAGACAATGTATTGGCGCATAATAAAAAAAAATTCTATAAAGTTGGAGTTGTTTTATGTTTTGAATGAATTAAGTTAATCAGTTTAAATCTTACGAAATAGATTAGTCAAACTAAGAGCCTATGAAATAGATTAGAACTGCAGTGGGGAGACCATATGTAAATATGGCGAAAATCGGTTTCGGGTGGACTGAATATACTAAAATAAATAACTATGACAAATAAGCATATGTGTGGGTTGAAAATTAAATGAAACAAGCAAAAAAATAAATTCAAAACGTATTTAGGAAGAAAAAAGTGTCAATGAGAGCCCATGCCAAGAAAAGGTACACATTCTAGATTTAGTAGATTTAGAGCGAACTAAATAAAAGCGGAATTGGCGTTAATCTGTGGTTTTTCTCCAGAGAGAAGTGCGCAAGGCAATTAATTTCAGCAGTTTTGAGGAAGGGATTTTAAGTTTTACTGGTTTTAAAATATAACTAGAATACTTATTATTTATAATTAGAAGCTTTCGCATCTTATGCAAACTTACTCAGGAAGTTAAAATTCAATTTTGTTCATATTATTGTCGCAGGATTTGCAAGCGTGCTCATGTACATATTCTACTTCAAATTGTAGGGAAAATGTTTGAAAACATTTCAAGAACGGCATACATATGTAGGTCCTCAGTATAAATCATTTTATTATTTCAATGGAATAGATCAACAAAAAAGTATTTTGAAATTGATAGTCTTGGTCATGGTTTTACTAGAGTAATACATTTGTAATAGTTCAATATAGTTTTGACAATTTTTCAATCCCCTATATTGTTGTATACATATTAATATGTCATTAATTTAAAATGCATGATCTACATCGACTATGGATGATTATGATGTAAGATCAACTGTCAACAAATTGACCAGTCAATCAATATTAAAAAAAAACAATATTTCAATCAATCAAAACAACAAACAAAATTTGAATCAATGTTTTCAACAAACATTTTCATAATCAAAGAATGTTTCAATCACTGAATATAACAGTTGACTACTGTATGAATCTTTTTAATTACTCAATGTCCTCTCATCAATGTGTCAAAAAAAAATAAGCTTAATTATTGGACACGGGCCTGGAAGAAAAACATAATCAAAGGCAGGTTCAAGCATATTCAACAAGTTGCTGATAATAGATCTGCAAGTTATATATAGCCATGACGCTTTGATATGGATAAGAAAAGGTTTTCCATGGCTTGCACGTTTCTGACAATATGAATCTAAAACAAACATACAACGAAAAAAACAATAATAAAATTTTAAAAACATAAATAAAATGGATACATATGACAATGTAGAGGTTATGAGGGGTGAGTTGAATTTTCTGTTGAGATGAATTCCAGAAAGGACTGGCGATTGGCGCGCGCGTAATATACCTGAATGTACATTCATAAGGGGTAGTGTCAAAAATGGGTTATAATGTAAAGGGTAATGTCAAAAGATGGTAATGATAAGATTGTAAACGTTATGCCTCTTCAGCTATGTACAGATATTTGATCTACTCATTTCCATAACAGGAAAACTTGTATTAAGTCTGATTAATATACACGCATACTCAGTACAGAATCAAATGAATTCAACAATGGACAGGAGTTAATCAGTTTTTCACAAGTGGAAACTAAATTGAGAGTAGTTCAAATCAGGCTGAATTTGGGCAGGGTAAAGTTATCTATTACCCGGTAATTAAAAAAACTAACCCACGCAGACCAGGAAAAAACCGTCTTTGAGTTCGTTTACTTTGAAAAAAACATGCGTGTTCTTGTACTCATGAGACTTTTGTGAAATTTCAAAGAACTTGAGTCTCGTGATTAAACGGAGGCATATTTTCCATTAACATTTGTTTTAATTACAATGTATTATAGTATTCATAGAGTTTTTCATTCCCAAAGTTATGCACATACGGTGGACGCATTGGCTCTGTGGTTACCTGGCAAAGTGACAGGTCTATGTCGTCTTTCTTCTCAGTTTTCAAGATAACAGAGAAAGTTTTCTCTAATTTGTTCATATTGATGACAACTTTTCCAATTCCGCTGAATACATTATTGTCATGCAAAACCTGGTAATTCTGTTCATTAATGTTCAGTCCTTCTACAGTTGCTGGACATTGTGACTTCTTTTTCTGTGAATTGTTTGAAATTGAAGACGTTTTTCCGCAGCTGTTTTTGATAACATACATAAGTGCCATTGCAAAGGTTGCAATTGAAAATCCTGCATTCATGGCCAACCAAATGTTCTCTTGTTTTTTCTGCTCACTTATTGTAGATTTCATATCCTTGTCATCTCCATCCTCATTCTGAAAATCAATGTTTGGCCTAATTTTCTTTTGCCCTTGGAATTCTGAAGCATGAGAAAAAACAAGATTACTTTTCTTTTCGATTGATGATGGAAAAAAAAACTTGAAACGTGTCCAAAATTTGAAATTCATTTTACATTATCAGAGGCTTGATAAATAATAGCATTGGTTTTAAAATGATGAGAAGGAATTAATCGAGACACATCTTCATGATCTCTTACCTTCCATTTCTCAATTTTTAAAAAAAAATCTTACGGAACTATTTTTTTGTGTGTGAAGAAAAGTGAGTTAGAGCATTTTGGGTGTTTTTATGTGCATGCACTTCGTATACAAATAGATAGTTACGAAAGCAAATTTTTTTTTAACATATATTTTTAAAAAAATAACATTGATATAAGTCTTATTTTACAGAAGCCAAAATGATGAAGTTAGTAGATATGGGGAGGGGCTTTCCAGATTTTTAAAATTATATCCTTTTTTTTTTCTTTCTGGTGATACAAAGTATGGAAATCAATATAACAGTGTCTCATGAGAAATCAACAGTACTGTAGAAATAACAGATTTCAAAAACATGCCAATATGCTTGGAAGATTTATTTACGGAACAACTGTCAAATTTTTTGGTTTCATGATGTGATCAATCGATTGGCTTGCGTGATAATTTGCATAAACGCCGAAGGCGTTTCTGCATAAAATTATCATGCAAGCCAATCGATTGATCATCGTTATGAAACAAAAAAATCTGACAGTTATTCCTTATATTTACATGCTCTTGATTCTGCAAATTCACGTGCTACAAGCCCCGCTTCTGTCTCTATTTGTCCCGCCCCGCACGTGATTTTTTTTCACCACGATTATCGATGAACCAGTAGATTTATGTAGAAATGAAGTATTTTTACTATTTGAAATTTTATCTCGGACAAGACATTGTAAATGTAAATATTGATTTTTAAATTCTTCCGTTTCTCCATTTGTATATCAACATTTCCATATTCAATACATTTCTTTAAATGATTAAATTGTCTTACTCCTTCTTAAAAGTTGGAAAAAAATCTTCATTGATATTGGATGAAGGAAAAATAAATTCTGTTAGTTGATAATTCGTCATCGATATACATGTATCATTATGTGGAGCCAAAGGACGCGGCAAGGGACTTTTTCTTTTTTGTGAATGTTTTGAATAAGTTTTTCTTCATAAGAGTACAAAATTAAGTCTGCTTTGACTTGGGAACAATTAGTTACCATGGGAATTCTATCAGATTAAATTGTTGGAAGACATTGTCTCCAAAGACTATAAAATTTGTCACCAAAGACTACATATAAATTTTTAATGACAAATTCACACATCATTTTATATTAATTTCAGAGTACTTGTGTTCAGAATCAGAAAAACTTTAACAAAGCGTTAATTAAATTGAATTCGCAAGCTCTATTCTATTGAAGAATCACTTTTGATGACGTCAATAAACCATGTCAAAATATTTTAAAAATACTTAAAAAGAGGCAGCGCAAACAAAATCCGTAAACATTTTTATTATGATGGTGCTTGTCTTTTCTTTAATCGTTGAATTGTACTTCCTCACCTGTAGTTGGGATGGGACAACCATACGAAACATCACACAGGGCCTCTACACACTCTGTACATTTAACACATCGATCCCCATAACTTCCGGCGTTACAGCGCTGTGTACAATTTATACCAAAGTATCCAGGTAGACACCCTTGTAAAATGATGAGAAAAATGAATGTGCAAAAATTCCCTTGTTTCCCATCCCGATAAATTTATTTTTATACAGATTAAGAAGGCTGGGTGGGAGCAACATGCACAGATTAGAAGTGTGTGTGTGTGTGGGGGGGGGGGGGGGGGGTTCGGAGGGGGGTCGAGAAATGCGGATCACTGTTAAGTTTGTAGGACATGTATACATTGCTTGTCAAGAAATTTCTGGGTTGGTTTTCTCTTTGGACTTTGATGGTTCCCTCCAGGAAATAATTCCTGGATCCGCGCTGAGCAAAGTACCAAAACGATCCTCCTTAAAACATGAAAAATAGTTTATCTAAATTGCCACAAGGACTATTACTTAGTAAGGAAAATTCAAAGATGTTCCAGCTATAATATTTCCCATATTATTAAAGCGTTCTTTTTCAGGAGAGTAAATAATCTAAAAAAAAAAACGGCCATGCAAAACCAGAACTTTCAAAACAATTCCATAAAATAACTGTAAAACATAGAACAAGATCGATAGTAGATTTCCTTTTACGGAATTTTATAGGTGCCTTTTCTTGTTGTATATTGTCTGGTTCAAAGAACTCTTTTCTGATCATCTGTCGGACGTCGTCAATCTAGCTGTCCTTGAGTGCATCTTTTAACTTTTCACTTTATGGACTTATCCAGAACTACTCGACCAAATTCAACCAAACTTTCCATAAAGTATTACTGCATAAAATAGAATTCAAATTTCTTCTTTTTTTTCGTGCAAAACGTATAGCGTTTCGAGTAAAACGTGCAGCATTTCGTGTAATTCTCAAAACGTTTTGCGCAAATCGTACAGCGAGCGTGCTAGAAGCGTGTGAAAAACGTGTGACTTTCGTGCAAGAACCCGTGTGAGAAACATGCCACTTTCGGGGTGATTTAAGTCCGATATATTTAGTGAGTAAAAATTCAAATTTTGAAACTGAAAAATAAACTTGCCATAGTAGACACATCATGTAAATTATACATTACAACGCCGAGATCGAACACAGGGTAAAAAATTAAGATTACAATTCTGTCTGAGTCGCATAATTTACGTTCGCGACCTGAACCTCATAATATTGATTCCGGATGTTACTGTAAGTTGGTTCCAGCCATGGCTTCAATCTTTAAATCGTGGTATCTTTTAATTAACTGTCAGTTTTTATTCTACATTGAACATTGGAAGTATTGTTTTTCTTGAGGTTTTAGCATGGCTCAGCGGCATGTCATTTTCATGTGGCGCAATGTTCTTTTAATACGCATTCATGCTTTTTTGTACAGCCTTTCAATGGCTAAATAGCCAAATAAATGTGGTGAAATACGCTTTCTGATACATGTTCCAAAACAAAATTTTGTTCATCTAATGCATACAAATCAAGTCTCTTTGTTTATTTGGCGCATGCCAAGAGTGATTTATTCGCTTGAATGCATGCATACCTAGTATTTAAGGTGTTTAAAGCTGAACACAACTCGTTAAGGACACTGTCCGCCATATTTCTCTTTCATCGGCACTATCCTAAAAACACTTATATAAGCCGTAGACGTCTTAACAGTTCAAGGCATTTCGCTGTAAAGGTCTCACCTGAGAAGACGTACATATTACATTGCTGTAATACCCGGTCGAGATGAAATTATCGAATTTTACGCCAGGAGAAAAGTAACATCAAATATATACAAGTCAATGCACATTTATAAACAGAAAATGACAGTCACGGTAGCTCGATCAGTCAGTAGAGCGCTGGCTCCGTGATTGGAGGGTTGTGTATTCGAATCACGGCTACGACTGACGTAAGTCGATAAAAAATAAGTCGCAACAGTTCCTTCGCTATGCGCTCGGCACTTTGAAGTGAAAGTTGCAGACGAGATCTTAAAAACTGAGGCCCCGTGTCACGGTAGGCGTATGCAAGATAAAGAACCCTTGCTGCTCGATGGCCCTGAGACCCGAGTGAAGGTCTAAATTTGAAGCCCTTCACCGGTATATGATGACGTCTCTATATGAGTGACAAATTCGTGAACTGGACGTAAAACAATATATAATCAAATCAAATCAATCATCTTCTGCACTTAAAACAAGGAATCAAAGACCATGATAGGAACACTACACGTCGGTCACGAGTTTCAAGTGTGCAACCGGCTGTAACGAAATCGTAGGGTTTGTATACCTGTGTGACGGTGCCTATTTACATGTATGAGTAGTGTTCAGCTTTTACCTTGGTTGGTATACAGGTAAAGATGATAGTTGTAAGATAAACTATAGACGGAGATTACAAAAGCCTAATTAAAATTTAAGAAGCACAGCGTCAAAGATAAATTTATTACGTAAATTTTTATTCTATAATTTGATAAAGTAAAGAAAAAAGTAATGGTTTGTATTTACAGATATGCATTCTCTGATTAAATGATATCACAAGTGTTGCAACCATGTTTTGTAGATACAGGTAAGCTGCAATAATGTAGCCCCTCCTTTTTTTTAATCTCAGCCCCTCCCTCAAATTTAATTTTAAAAAAGCACCACATATCAATATTCAACTGCCAACTATTCTTTTAAACACAAACTTTGAGCCATCCGAGTCACTTATATCATCTTTAAATCTGTTTTTGTTTTCTTCTTTACCTCTAAATAAAAAAAACTACAATTTTTCAATACCACTGGCAATGTCGAGTCAAATTTGTTGAACTCCAAATTGTCTAAATTGTGATTGTAAGCGTGTTACGTAGATTTTCAAACTTCTACAATGTTACTGCGTCTATATCATACTAGGGTCATTCAATAAGTAATGCAACCTACAGATCAACATAATAAATGTAGACGTATTAAATTTTATTTTTTTAATAGTTGAAAAGTTCTATTAAAGAACTCCTAATCACAAAAACTCCATGCTTTTTCCTATTATTGTCGAAAAGGAATTAAATTTTAAAGTAAGCATGGACACTACACTAAGCTGAAAACAGTTTTAAAATGATCTTTGCCAAGAAGGTGAAAATGAGGGTGTATGTGAAAACTACGCTTCATTACATAATAGCTGAATAACTCATATTAAAGGTATGATTTTTATATTTAGAAAGACTAGTATTTTACGCTGTATAGATCTCAGATGGATTCGGAAATTCAAAAGTAAAAAAAACAAATACAAGTAAAAGATCGCAGCCAAACTGATCGATCAAAATCTTTAGGGACACCAAAAAATATCGATGCTGTGAGCAACATGATATCTGAAAATGCCAAATTTCAATTGATAGACTTTGCAAATACACGAAGCATTTCATCAACATAACAGTTTATAGAGTTCTGACAAATGAAATAAATCTAACAATAATTCTATCAGATGGGTACCTTGTTTCTTTACAAATGCCTAAGAAAACACACACAATAAATGTGCCAATGGTCTTTTCAAAAACAAACATTTTTACAAAAAAGAAGATTTGTTAAATTTGAGAGATGGATGACGAAACGCGGGTGTGCTTTTTATAGCCGAAAGGGAAGATCAAGAATCAGATGTGGAATCAAGGAAAAAAAAACTTCTTCCTGTTATTACAAAGAGAAGCAAAGCTCTAAATATGTTTTATGAATTTTCTTTTTATTCAGAAGATCCAGTAAAACATGTACATACAACTAAAGGAAGGACTATCAATGGTAACTTTTATGTTTAAATTTCACTCAGGAATGTTAAGCAGATTTCCTGCAAAGCAAGCCCAAATACTGGTCCCCGGAGTATTTTTTTTGGCATGTGAAAACGCTGCTGCAAATAAGCATAGAGAAATAAATAAAATTTTGAAGAAAGGAAAGTAAAACTTTACAGAGCTTGGACATCGATCCCTTATATTCGCTAGACATTAGCTATTGTGAGATCTTTTTCTTCCAAGGACACTTGAAGGCAATAAAAGGAAGATTTTACAATTTCAGGAATATCATGGAAAGTTTTTTTCATCAGTGTCTTCAGGGCATCCCTAAAGATGAGTATGCCGAGGTTTTCTGGTCATGGGTATAAAGAATTTAGACATGTGCAAATGTTATCAAAGACCATGCTTTGAGGGATTGAAAGTATTAAGAATCTGCTTAATATGCTTTTCCTATTTTTAGATGAACTTTTGCATTATTTATTGAACGACCCTCGTATATAAACCAATTATTGCCAAAGGATATTGTATGCAAAGTAAAGCGTATTAATCCGTAAAAACGCCCAATTAGTTGTTCAATAATTAGGCTTAATATAAAGATTTACTCGTGTCACATTCTTTCGTTGTCTCGTTCCATTTATAACCGACACAACAGTCATATTCTCCATCTTTCCTGAAAATAAGAAATGAAGTTTTTATTTTAATTTAGATATGATTTTCTCCTTCGTGTAAAGAAACAATTTAAATAGGTTCCTATTTATATAATCACCTTGTATTATATTCAACACACCGCAGAAAAAAAAAATTCGTAACAACATGAATTATACTTGTGGTTAATGAAATACATCTACTTGCATAATTTTTAAGAAAGATTGCTGGCTGTTAGAAAATTATATCCAAAACTTTGGCAATGTCTATTATAGAGAATAATGTAAAAGCAACAATCAGGATGTTAAGATTTTATGCGCTAAAAAGCAATAAATCAATAAGTATTAAAATTATTTTAAGAGGATTTTACTTAACAATGAATTTCCCTTAGTGTAGATAATCTAAAATACTTTAATATAAAATTATTTATACAAATGCTGAAGCACATTTCTTGACGTAACTTCTATTTATAAAAATGAAATTATAATTATACAATATGTGGAATTCATATTATATCATTAAGATTATATTTCAGAAAATGCAGCCCATAATTGATTTCAGGAATGTTTGAAATATAACAATATTAAATGACATAATAAATAAAAGTGGAGATAACGAACGGTGATCGGTCTCGTAAAATCTACAAAAACAATATAAATTTGTGAACAGTGCATAAAAACACGGACCCCTGGACAGATGCGTAGGAGGAATTGACAGAAACATGCATGGATAATAATCATTAATTGAGACTATAGCTTAACAAACGCGATAACTTATATCCGAAGTTTTAGAAAGTCAAAGCCCAGTCTAAATTAATTAAAGAAACAAAGGCACTGAAGATGACCGAAGGGAAATTACAATTTAAGTATGATTATGCGAAAACGCCTGATATTCATAAGTAGCTTACAAATTTTTCAAAATATTTGATTGAACGTAATGCATCAATGGGAAGTCCACTAGTATGTGAATATAAATTTTATCAAAATCATAAATCCATATCATTTTTGTGAAGTTTCAAATAATGTTAACAACATCCATCTTTATATATAACATTTAGAATTTGTATAATTTCAATATTTCTAGAATCATTTTCTACATTGTAAGATTGAAGTGTAGACTTAAAAAGAATTGCACAAAATATCCATGCCTTTCTTGAGCGTAAGATTTAACTTAAAATACGTAATACGCCTAAAGTTAATAATACTTAACAACAATGATGTTTGTACATCGGTATGAAAGGATGCTTCAGCAATTCGATATTGCACTCTAGCTTTATTTAACAGAAAATACAGTTTTCAATTTTTCATGTTGCTATATATCGGTCTCGCAAAAACATTCAGAGAAAATTCCTTTGTTTTTCTGTTGTTCCTAGTTCCTGTCCCTTCTTACATGTACAAGCACTTATTTCTCTACAAACGTTTATACCCATAGTATAATGGGTAAATTTTCATTCTAGGAAAAAGTACCCGTATCTCTTTTTCGGTAGGTACCTATATATACATTTCTTTGATTCAATAAATTGCAAAAAAGTATATATTATAAAGCGCTGTATTTTTCTAGGTCAAACTTACCTTAAACATCGTGGTGCCCAAATAACTCCAATAAAACCGAGGCATAGTGCGGCAAATACAATGTTTCTTTTAGCAACAAACATTCTCCTCTTGAGAATTTGTAATTATAATAGATCAAGATACTTTAAATTCTGTTTCAAAAAATTATTGAATAATAAGTTTGTACAAGTAAAAATTGTTCATGTGTACAATATTCGTCAATTCATTTAAGTTACTAAGAATGTACTGCTTACGATCAACACATATTAAATTGATATATGATGCTCAATTATGAAAGTGTATGAAATAAACATTTTCCTGAGTTCCAGGAAAATAATTGAAATCACTTTGCTATGTCACGTTTTAGTCAATTTAAGCAGCCGCCATCAAAACCACATAAATTATTATAGAACAGGAATAGGAACTAGAAACTCAATGCGACCAATGAGAGGTCTTCCGTCCGATTTTGAAAATAAAAACGTAAAATCAAGCTGAAAAGACGATAAAAGAAATTTAGCAACCTGGAGATTTAACCCTGGTCGTCAGCGTGAAAATCCAACGTGCTAACCATTAACCATCACTTTTTTGCATCACTTCCTGTCACGACCGGAAGTAACGGCGATACAAAATTTTCTCGCGATTCAAATAAACTGATGACTGACTATAAGACCTAAAAGTTTTAGACTTCAGTCGTTTACTGTTGCCGAGCAATACTGTGAGAACAAATTCTAATTTTGAGGACAGGTAAAGAAGCGACCGGAAGTGAATTTTATACAAAAAAAATCTCTGACGTTTCTCTAGACATTTGCAGTATCTACAAAATGCATAAAAACATTTTAAGTACTTTATTGATAAGCAATATTTAGAAGAAAGTTAAATATTGAAATAACGTAGCTTATCACCTAAAACCGGAAGTAGATGTTTTTGATTCCGGTGGAGTCTAACATATTTCAAATTAGCGGAAGAGATGTAATAAAGTGATGCAAACTTTAATTTAAAAAAGAAAAGTCAAATTTTTTTAATTTTATTTCTTTGATCACTTCCTGAGACGACCGGAAGTTACGACTGAGGCATTTAATTAAAATGGTTTTGCCTACTCCTCAAGGTCTGTTACTCATAAAAATTTGGTGTTTCAATCTTTTACCTGTTTTAGAGATCTTGCTCAGACAATTTCTCATTTTGAGGACAGAAAAACACGCAACCGGAAGTGAATTTTTGAAAGATATTTGAGGTTACTCTAGACATTTGCAGTCTCAATAACATATTTAAAATTCATTTCAAATACATCATCTATAAAGAATATTTATGAGAAAGTAAAATACTCAGATAAATTATGTAGTTCTTTCTCTTATAACCGGAAGTTGACGTTTTTGTTTCCGGTGGGACCAACATCTTTCGAATCTGCGAAAAAGATGCAATAAGGTGATGCAATTTTTAATTAAAAAAAGAAAAGTTGAAATTTTCTATTTCTTTGATCACTTCCTGTGACGACCGGAAGTGACGACTGAGGCTCTGAACCCAAATGGTTTTGGTTACATCTTAAGTTCTGTTGCTCATATAAGTTTCCTATCTTAATCTCTTACCGTTTCTGAGATCTCACTTTGACAATTTCTCATTTTGCGGACAGTAAAACACGCGACCGGAAGTGAATTTTACCAAGATATTTGAAGTTACTCTATACATTTGCAGTCTAAATAACATATCTAAAAATCATTTCAAATACTTTATCCATAAGCGATATTTATGGGAAAGTAAAATACTCAAATTATGTTGTTTTTCGCTTGTAACCGGAAGTTGACGTTTCTGTTTCCGGTGGGACCAACATATTTCGAAACTGCAAAATAGATGCAATAAAGTGATGCAAGATTTGATTAAAATAAGAAAAGTTGAAATTTTCGATTTCTTTGATCACTTTCTGTGACGACCGGAAGTGACGGCTGACGGATTTGAACATGTTCCACAAATGTACTTGTCATGATCTATAATCCCTGAAAGTTTGAGGTCTTAATCTTTTACCGTTTCTGAGATATCGTCCGGACATGATCTCTGTTGAAAAAACGGAAATCGGACATATTTGACGACAGGAAGGGAATTTTGTAAAATCCTTCAAAATATTTTTAGTTTATTTTATTTGTCATAATCCCTGAAAGTTTCAAGAAAATCCATCGAGCCATCTCTGAGAAATCACTTGGACAAAAAATGGGGGGAAAAAAAATAATAATAAAAAGAACTAGACTCTTGTTGCCATGGCAACAAAAAGGTCTTCCGTTCCTATATGATACCGTTTGCATTGTTTTTTTTATGTAGAGAAACGTGTACAGTATGTAATAATTAAGTTGTAAAGAATCTAAAATTTGTCATTTCGGTACTTGCAGTCCATTGATTTTTACTGCAAAAATGAGTGTATCTGTTGTCCTTATATATATGATATTGTATGCATGTTTTTTTTTCATTAGTAGAAGCATATTTAAACTATTTCTAAATTTAAAAGTTAAATTGGGGGAGAGGGGATATCGAGAAAACAACTTGTCAGTTCTTATAGAACTTTGATTTTCACTACAAAAATGATAGTATCACGATATGAGGAAAATGACGCATTTCATGACGTCATAATGCATTGGCTAGCCAGAAAATTACGTCATTTTTGATAGATACGCAGTCCTCAAAGGTCTCAGGCCCGTAGGAAGGAATTTCAGTTCCGGGGGGGGGGGGGGGGGAACAGCCATACATTTTTTAGTTGGCACTACCAAAAATTTCCTGAGAAGCAAAAAAAAAAAAAAAAAAAAAGGTCATCAGGCGTTTTTATTGAGGGGGCACAAGCATATAGTATCTATGCTTACAATAGTAATCTATATATCGGCAAAATTATTGGGGGGGGGCACGCCCCCCCGTGCCCCCCCCCCCCCGGTTCCTACGGCCATGGGTCTAAATGATATTTAATGCATGGTCAACTAAAGCCAAGCAGTTTCAGTTTTTCTGAAATTCACAGGGCCAAAAAAGGACCTAAGTGAACCTTGTTCTTTAATATTGAAACCATTACACTAGCGCAATGTACCAGCAATCATCGAAGTTTACTTTGCACTCATTCCCTGAAGTAACAAGTGTCAGGCAGGTTAATCTTTTTTCTTATAGTGTGGAATTATAGGATGAAAACTAGCCAGCTAAATTTTATGCAAGTACTAGTAGATTTACATCGGATTTGGGTCAAGATAATTAATTCGCGCCAAACGTCACGAGTAAATCTTCGCGCCTTTTCTTTGGAATGTGTCTTTAATTGAATAAGTGTACATGATAGCTTCAATGAAGTTTTTAAAAAATATGTTGCTATAGCCTGATTTTCTAGCCTAAGAATGTATATTTATCACACTACATATAACATACCGTATACGGACAAGTAACATAAATGCAGCGCTAAGTTTTCTTACACATTTTATATTCCTCTTTACCCCAAAAGTGGATTATTCCAATTAGTAACACATTAATGAAAAGACTGGAATGTTTCGCAATAAAACACGTCTCGCCATATGACGCTCAAGGAATCTGATACCTATTATGTTCAGTAACTTGCATCTTTGAAGGGATATTGCCCTACTATAATTTAATAAAAATATCATTGAAGTTTATTTTTCTCTCATTTGAAATTGCTATAGGTTATTCAATCAACATGAGAAAGTAACAAATTCTACTTTCAAAATACAATTCGGCAACTCACCAATTTATGATACAATTGCTTAGGTATCTAGCTACATATACATTTGTACCAACATGTTTTCTTCGTTTTGTCATAGCACAATTGCATCCACGCACATCAATTAGTGCAAAATTAAACTGCAAACTCTTTATGAGGGAGTAAAAAGACACGCTGATATTGTGCCGTCAAACACCGCTGCTCTGACGTCGAACGACATAGCCCCCCCCCCCCCCCCTTAAAGATAAAATCCTATATTTGAGCCCCCAAAAGTGAGAAAAATTCGGACATTCTTTGGGTTGAATCCGGATCGCCCACGTGAAAATTCAACATGCTAACCATTACGCTATCAAACATCATCGCTTAAAATTGAAAAATGATAAATATTTAGAGTATGGGTTAATCAATTTTTAAACAAACTACATATTTAGCATTCTTGTAAGATTCTTTATTTAGCCTATCAACATCATAAAAAAATAATGAAAAACAAAAAAGTTCAAAAAATTACCCTTTTTTAAATCACTTCCTGTGACGACCGGAAGTGACGACGACACACGAAATGTTTCCATCACACATCTACAAACCAAATTCTATCATACCTGAAAGTTTCAGACTCCTACCTTTAACAGTTTTTGAGAACATTCATGGACTAGATTTTTAGTGTAAAAAGAGAAAAATCATAATAATTCCCGACCGGAAGTTAATTTTTCCAAACTTTTTCAATATTTCGAAATGGCATGAGATAACACATCATTCCTGAAAATTTGGCTGAAAATGAATGAGTAGTTTTTGAGATATCGCGATTTGAAAAGGTCAAAAAAATAAAAATGAAAAATAATAATAATAATAACTAGATACTTATTGCCTAGGCAATAACAGGTCTTCCATTTTCTTGACTTCTTTGAAAACCAAACACAATTTTCTCAATAAGATTACTCTAAATAATTAACAGAAGTTATGTCAAGGCTCTCAAAGATATGTAGATACAGATAAAAACAAACGGAATTACTTTTCTGTTTTCTTTATGTACTTCGTCATGAACGAAAGTGTTCCAAACGAATAAAATGTTCATTCTACACCTAAATTATTCACAACTGATCATCCCTAAATGTTTCCATGAAAAACTACTCATGTTTGAGACAACTTCTGGTTTTTTTTGGTTGGCACTTCCTATGTAAATAATTTGCATGGTCATGGTCTATCTAACATCTGCATTAGCCAAACATTTCTGTAAAAAGAAAAAAGACTTTAAAAATTCACTTTTTTGCATCGCTTCCTGTCACGACTGGAAGTGACGACAACGTACGTTTTTTACATGATGTAAGTAAACTGGTGACTGGCTATCAGTTCTGAAAGTTTTAGACTTCAGTTATGTACCGTTTTTGAGC